ATATAAGAACTTATTATATTAGGCAGAGACCACTGTTGGATGTTAATTCTTGTCTGATGTTTAAATAACATACAAACTTCAGGAAAAGTAGCCCCAAAAACTTTGGCATAGTCCCCTGGTGTAACAGGAATCTTATAATGTGCCAAAAACTCACCGTAAGTAAAAAGAAAACCATTCAAATTAAATAACTGATCCACCAATATGATGCCTTTATCAAACCAGTTTTTTAGATAAAGCGATTTGTGTTTATATAATATATCCACATTGTTCCATATATAGTACCTATGAGGTGAAAAATTGTGCTTGTGGATCAAAGACCGTGATAAAAAGGCCTGACGGTGAAATTCAGCTAGTTTTCCTGGTATTTTATCAATATTATAATTACAGCTAAGAAAAAAATGTATACCACCAAATTTTGATAGAATATGGGAGGGAATAAAACACCAAATGGAATTAGGATTTGTAACAATTTGTTTAAGCCAATTAACCTTACATGTATAATTTAATGTAGCAAAGTCCAAAACATTTAAGCCACCATTTTCATATGAATTCATAATAACTGTCTTCTTTATGTAATGCGTTTTATTTTTCCAAATGAAGTCAATCAATATTTTGTCAATTTCTTTACATAGTTTTTTATCAAGATGTAAAGCCATTGCTGCATAAATAAGTCTAGAAATACCCTCTGCCTTTGTAATTAAAACTCTACCCCTTAAAGAGAGGTCTCTTATTAGCCAATGATTTAACTTTTTTTTGTTTTTTTCAATAATAGGACTAAAATTTAGCAAGCACCTTTTTTCTGGTCTTTGGTTATCAATATTCCAAGATATTGAAACTCATACTTTAAGGGAACACCATCATAGCTAGTTTCGAGACATTCCTTTACCGCCATAAGCTCACATTTAGTCAAATTTAAGTATACCCCTGATGCTCTTGAAAATTCGCCAATTAGATCAATTGCCACAGATATCTGATTCTCATTTTTAATAAAAAGTGTAGTGTCATCTGCTAATTGTGTCATTTTTATCTCTCTATCAACAATAGTGATACCTCTCAGTGGGCTTGATTTAATATGAGAGGAAAGAAGCTGACTTACTAACAAAAAGAGGTATGGAGATACTGGGCATCCCTGCCTAATTCCTTTAGAAATATCAAATCTAGGGGAAGTACCATTAAATAACTTTATAGAACAGTTGCCATTTTTGTAAAGAGTTTCAATTGCTGTAGAAAAAAAATGACCAAAATCACATTTCTTTAGAGTATCAAGGATAAACTGATGTTCTATAGAATCAAATGCTTTGCAAAACTCTAAAAATAATATAAAGCCATTATCATTAATCAGATCTGAATAATCCAAAATGTCCAAAACTAATCGTATATTATTTGTTATGTGCCGATTTTTCATGAATCCCGATTGTGATTCATCAATTACTGAATCTAAAACGGTTTTCAATCTTCTAGCTAAAATTTGGGCCAACAGTTTATAATCATTATTTAATAAACAAATACGGCGCCAATTATCAATATACTGTCTGTCTTTATTTGGTTTGGGAAGCAATACAATTAAACCTTGTGTTAAAGTGGGTGGAAGACACTGTTTTTTGATGCTTTCAACAAAAACCTCTAAAAGAAAGGGAGCCAATTCCTCGGAGAATAATTTATAGAACTCTGATGTCAAAGCATCAGTGCCTGGTGATTTGGAATTTTTCAAATGATTAATTGCATCCATCAGCTCGCAAATTGTAACAGGTCTATCACAATGTTCCTTTTCAGTTCTATTAATAGGTTTTTAATATGCAACGAATTCAAAAAGGCATAGGCTGACACCTGAGAGTAGATGTTTACAAATTTTTATAAAATTCACTACAATATTGAGAAATTACTGTATGATTATCCGTTATAACTCCATTAATATTTAATTTACTAATGGTGTTATAAACAAAATTCCGCTTTTCTAAATTAAAAAAATAATGTGAATTTTGTTCCCCTGCCTCAAGCCTTTTTTTCTGGAACAAATAAAGACACCTTCAGCTTTTTTCTTATACAAATCATCTAGTTTACTTGATAACTCAGCCATTTCTAGTTTCTCATCCTCTAAAAGAGAGAATTTGTTATTCTTGTTATTGTTCTATTTTCTTCAGCTCGTTTACTTTTGGCCATAAAGGAACCATACTTTCTCATATATTTGCCAATTTCAAACTTTAGAAGTTCCCAATTTTTGCCAAAGGCATTTTCCAGTTTAGCTTTAAACCAAAACCTACAAATCAAATCTTTAACTTTCGTTGGGACCTCATTATGCAGCAAGAGGGAATTATTAAGTTTCCAATATGAAATATTTGCATTATGGTTTTTGGAGTGCAGGTTCACATTTATATAGATGGCTTTATGATCTGTTAAAGGAGTAGGTAAAATATCTACTTCTACCCCATCTTTATCTATTCTGGATAGATTAGAGCCTGATTTGTTACTCCATGTGAAGGCTATGTCATTAGGTTGTTTAACTCTCCAGATATCTTTTAGATTACATTTATCCATAACATTTTTGAGATTAATATTTATTGAATTTGATCGACCTGGTGGCCATTTATCTGTAGCATAGTCCTGAATAATGTTAAAATCCCCTCTTATTATATAAGCATTTGGATATTTGTCCAACCAAACTTTAAAGGTGTTCCCTACAGCCCCCAAAAGACTATCATTCTCTGGTTTCCTGTTGTACCCATAAACATTAGCTGTAATAATGAACATATCATTACAATTGAGTAACAGACAAACAAAGTGACCTTCAGGATCACTTACAGACTGCACAACTTCATTAAATCTATTCTTAAGTGTTATTACCCCAGCTGAATGTTCAGAACCATGGGAAAACCATATTGAAGTACCCCACTGAGCATTCCAAAATTTGCGATCATCATTAACCGAATGAGCTTCTTGTATATAACAGAAATCAGACCTGTGTTGTTTAGCAAATAAAAACAGGAACATTGCAACAGCGCGCTCTGAACCTACGCGTCATTTGACAGAATGACGTGGAACAGAACATTGAATAATTCATATCTATCTATCTGTCTGCTTACTAATCTTATACTATTTTTTTCTTCAAGCAGCCATTGGTAACAAAAATTCTAATAAAAAATAAATAAAACATGAACTATGCAAAACATATTTAACGTTAAAAGAGGTCAAGT